GGATGTATCGTATCGTGACCCCTCTGTTATGATATGTATCGTATCGCCAAATTCTTGCCAATACACAGCCCTAAATGCTACACTTACTCTCTGGCGCTCAAGAGGTAGAGGAGCCAAATGGCTGGCTCACTGCTGCCAACTAGTGGTCAGAGGCTGAACTACAACATAAAAATGAACGGCTGGCAGGAAAGTTGACATTTTAAACCTTAATTAAAAATCGATACAGGGCTTTAAAATATCGATACAGTATCGGGAAATGAAATATCACGATATTTCAGTGTATCGATATTTTCTTACACCCCTACTACTTGTGGTGGTGAGGATGGACTTTGAACAATTTTTAATCATTTGTTACTTTCATATTACAACATCAATGAAGTTGTGTTGGGATGTGCAATCTTATTTTGGTACAATTTCACTGTCTTTAGTTTGTATTTTATCTTAACATGTGAATGAAAACAGATGTCTAATGTCTAATAAAGTATAAATTCACATTTAAACTTTATTTTTCCCAAGTGAGCCAGTTCAAGAAGCCATCTACTTCAGTTTGGACATCATTTTAAAACTTTTTCACAAAACCTTAACCCATAAAGCTGCCAAACTATTCCTTTAAATTGAAATTTTGTTGCAAAATGCCCTGAATTTCTTTTGTGATTTGTTGCTGAGTAAATTAAACAGAATGAACTTCTGTTTTGTTATTTTTTTACTACTGAGAGTTATTACTACTAAGGTTATAATGACCTTAATTTAAACCTGAACAAAAACTTTTACCTCTCACGTAGTATCTGACGCCGGCCCGGAAGCAGCTTCTCCTGGATATGAGGATCCACTCAAAGATTTTCCCATTTATACGACACAGTTTTATCACAATGACTGCACCAGGGAAGTTAAAGAAAGGTTTTAGCCCTTTTCTTTTGTTATCTTAAATCATTTGCAGTTTTGTGTAACAAAAACTGATTATAAAATGTTAAACAGCACAAAGCAAAAAAGGATACATCCATGGACAACAGGTAAGGCAAACCTGTGAAGCTATGGAGGAATAGTTATAATTAAGTGATGAATATAATAAAGGAGATTTCTTACAGAAAACCAGCAGTTACCTCTGGCTGCCCAGCCAGTTCTCTCAGCAGGTTGCCGTTCCACACAAACCTCTGATCTGCCTTCAAAATCACAAACAATTCAGCAAATCAGCCCAAAATGCATCCCACAAGACTTTAAAATCATGATTTTAAATTATAACACACCTCTTCTAAATATATTTTTAATAATCAGAATTATTATAATATTTAATTATCTCCATGAGTATTCAGGATTTTTGCAATAACTCTTTACTTTCACTTGATTTCTGCTGAGATGTTTCAACACTTTCTTTGGTTTAAATTACCCATGGTAAGATTTGGAAAGATGCAAACTTCATAGAAGGTCTGATAATCAGAGCAAAAACCACATGCCAAAGGAAGTGTCTGCAGAGCTCAGAGACAGGATGGTTTCAAGGCACAGATCTGGAGAAAACTACTAGATTTGGCTGCACTGAAGCTTCTGAGTGGCCTCTGATTTCCAGATAGTTTTGGTGCAACAGGACTCTTCCAACAGCCTGAACACACCGAACAGAGAGAACCTGATGCTCACTTCTCACTGAGTTTCAGAGATCCTGTATAGATTGGGGACCAAGTCCCAGAAGAATAACCAGAACTGCAGGTTTCCACTGATCTGGGTTTATGGTAGAGTTGCTCAACAGAAGCCTCTCCTTAGCAGGAAACACATGAAAGTTGCTTGAAGGACTCAGACTACGAGGAACAGGATCCTCTGGTCTGATGAAATCAGGGCTGAGCTGTTTGACCTCAGTTCTAAACATTACTGCATATCTGGAGGAAAAACACAGGACTTCTCAGCACCCAGAGGGTCAGGGTTGACAGCAACCTGTTCCACAGAGTTCAGAACCTCAGAATGGCTGAAAGTTCAACTTCCAACAAAACACTGAGCCACAGCACACAGAGAGGGCAGCACAGATGTGGTTTAGGGGCAGAATGTCCTAGACTAAACCAGACAGTCCTATTAAACATTTGTGGAGAGAGCTGAAACTGGCTGCTCACCAAAACATCTCTTAAACAAGACTGAGCCTGGCAGGATTCACAGAAGTGACAGGATGAAAATCCACCAATCCTGGTCAGCTGAGCAACATTTGTTGCATCAAATCCAGAAAAACTAGACCAGAACTGCTGTCGAAGATGGTTCAACTCCGGACTAAGAAAAGGCTCTGAATACTCATGGAACTCCTATTTCACTTGTTTCTTTAAATGAAGTTACAGTACTGTGTACATCTCTGTTTTCACTGTGTTGTGACTTCAGATTGTTATTGTTGATGTGTCTGCTGTGTGAAAAGGAATAATAATTGATCCTTTTATAGGGAAACCTGACTAGTTACAACATTTGACATTACTTGATAAACATTTACTAAAAATACGGTAGACCTGTGTTATTAACACCACAAAGCATACCGGTTAAATGGTGATGTTTCCTCTGCCAGTGCGAGGCTGCTAGCGAGCTATATCCACCCTGAAGGTTAATCTTGGACAATATCTGATGATCGACTCTTTTAAATGAAACCAGAGAGCGTTGACAG